CCTCGGCCTCTAGGCCCAGTGGGGCCGCAGGTGACGGACTGCCCCACCGGCTGTCGGCCGCCGTTACTCCCGTGGGTCACCTGGGCTGTGCAGGTGTTGGGGGGATGGCTCCTGTTTGTCATCTCTTAGGGGCTTAAGCCAAGGATCCTGCTTGGGTCCTAGGCTGAGCAGCCCTTAGGAAAACCATGGTTCCCACCTGCCTTTTTATTTTTAAATTTAACTATTGATGGAAGTAATACAGTGTCACCCTTTTTTTCCCCATTAACCCCCTCCACTTCCTCCCAGGCCTTCACCACACTATTGTCTGTGTCCATGGGTTATGCATGTAAGTTCTTTGCTTAATCTCTACCCACTTACCCACCCATCTTCCCTCTGAAATTTGTCAGTCCGTCCTATGTTTCTATGTCTCTGTTTCCACCTGCCCCCTCCTTCCTAGGACCTAGGCCTGTGGGGGACCTTTGGAGCAGATTCATTTAACAACCAAAATAATGGTGACTAAGGTTGCCAGGCATCCTGTGTGTACAGGACATGCCCTACATTAAATGACTTAGTCCTGTTCTTTCCCAGAACAGTTTCACCAGAGGGACAGAGTGCAGGAAGCACTGACCCAGAGGCAGCTACATGGCAAGGTGAATCAGGAGAGATGGGAAATGTTAGTCTTTGCAGCTGTCAAGGAATCTACTCATGGATCAAATTAAAGTCTGGAACAGAAAAACACACTATCCCCGGCCACTAGCCCAAGCAATAAGTCAAGAAAAAGAAAATGCACCAAAAATTGGAAAAGACGTAAAAGGCTTTGTCAATGTTACAAAAGCCAATGGAATCTACAAATGTCACTAGAACTAGTAAGTGAGTTGTGCAAGGTTGCAGGCTAAAAGATCAAAATACAAAAATTAATTATATTTCTGTATACCATCAATGAAAATTAGTAATTTACTATTTATTAGAGCATCAAAAATATGAAATATTTAGACATAAGTCTGAGAAAACATATAAAAGACCTAAACAGTAAAAGAAATTAAGATCTAAATAAATGAATAAAACACTGCTAAAAGAAATTAAGATCTAAACAAATGAATACATTTACAATGTTCACAAGTCAAAAGACTATTTAAATGGTTACAATGTCAGTTATTCCAAAACTGATCTATAGATTCAATACAAAATCCTAGAATGTGTTTTGTAGAAATAGACAAAATGATTCTAAAATTCACATGGAAATGCAAAGGACCTAGAATGACCTAAACAACTTTGGCAAAAACCAAAGTAGAATGACTGACACTACATGGCTTTAATTAAGGCAGTATGTTAGTGGCATCAAAATAAACAAACAGATCAGTGCAACAAAACAGAATCTAGTGCTGGGCCCACACAGACAGGGACAACTGATTTGTGACAATGGTGCAAAGGCAATTCAGAAGAGAAGGAACCATGCTTTCAAAAAATGGTGCTACAATAGGTGATCCATTTAAAAAGGGAAGGGGGGAGGAACTTAGGTCCATACCTCACACCCTGTACACAACAGAGGATAGATCTAAATGTAAAATTTTAAACTATAAAAACAGGAAGGAAAAATAGAAAAAAGCCTTTATAAACTTGGGTAAGGCAAATATTTCTTACATATGACACTGAAAGCACAACCCATAAAAGAACTGAAAAATTGGACCTCATCAATATTGAAATCTGCTCTTCAAAAGCTACTGTTAAGAGAATGAAAAGACAAACCACAAGCAGGGAAAAAATATTTGGAAATCACATCTATGAAAGAGGACTTGTGTCAATAGTGTATAAAGACCTCTCACATATCAATAAAAAGAAAACCCAATTAAAACAAAGGCAGAAAATATGAACTTTACCAAAGAAGACATATGGAAGGTAAGCACATGACAATATGCACAATAGCATTAGTCATTAGGGAAATGCAAATTAAAATTTCAATAAGATAGCGTTATACACTTATCAAAATAGTTAAAATTAAAATGAAATATCAAGTGTAGGCAAAGATGTATTAGGAGTGGGACTCTCATACAATGGTGGGAATGTAAATGCCACAACTTTGTAGAACCATTCTGAAGATTCTTAAAAATATAAATATACCTATCTATGACCTGGCTATTCCACTCCTGGCATTTACCAGGATAAATAAAAGCATATACATTTACAAACACTTGAACACAAATGTTCACAGAAGTTTTATATGTAACAACCAGAAACTAGAAACAACCCAAATGGCCATCAAGAGGTGAGTGGACAAACTGTGATATATCCATAGTACAATACTACTCAGAAATAAAAAGGGCCAAAACCGGTTTGGCTCAGTGGATAGAGCATCGGCCTGCGGACTGAAAGGTCCCAGGTTCGATTCCGGTCAAGGGCATGTACCTGGGTTGCGGGCACATCCCCAGTAGGAGATGTGCAGGAGGCGGCTGATCAATGTTTCTGACTCTCTATCTCTCTCTCCCTTCCTCTCTGTATCAATAAAATATATTAAAAAAAAAAGAAATAAAAAGGAATGAACCACTGATGTATGCAACATGGGTGAACCGCAAAATAATTATTCCAAGTGAAAGACACTGGACCGGAGAAAAGTACCTAGTGTGACAACATTCATATAAAATCCTAGAAAAGGAAAATGAAGGCAAAGTGACAGAAAGCACATCAGTGGTTACCTATGGGGAGCCAGGAGGGAGAATTACAGGGGCATAAGCAAAATTTGGGAGGTTTGGCCGCTTATTATCTTGTGGTGATTGTTTCACTGGTGTATACGTAACTCAAAACATATCAATCACGTTCCCATAAATAACATTTTTGTTTATTATGCTCCAGCCACTGTGCTAAGCACTTCTACATGTATTAATGCAGCTAATCCTCAACACAGAACTATGAGGTAGATTGTCATCCCTATTTTACAGATAAAGAAATTAGCATCGAGTTTCTGTAACTTAACCCTCTGCTTCCTGCAGTGGGCCGTCAAGCTGTCTGCGAAAGTGGTAGCTAATTCCCTGAGTGGAAAAAAAAAAACTAGATGAAGTTGCTAAGAAATGTTCCCAACTGTGAAGTCACTTAGAACAGCAATGAGATGGATAAATTTAAGACAGACAGCATCTTGCATCTGATTCAGAGTACACACACCCCAACTTTTGCAAAGGCACAGACAGCAATTGAGTGGTCAAGAGTAACTTCAGAGTAATGAGTAGTGTGGGTGGGCTGCACCCGAGGTAGGTCTCTGAAAGCCTGAACTCTGTTAGAATGTCCTAGATGCAGATGGCTCCAATAGACAAGGCCCCTCTGTTGGTGAGTTTGGGAGACTTCTAATATTCATATTGTAATAGGTGCCCATATATCTTTATCTTTCTGGTTTATGCCTTGTTTAATCTTGCACATCTAGAGAGATACATGGGAAATAAACGTCTTAAGATTTAAAGGGTCTGAAATGTCTTTAATTCTGGGCAAAATTTTCCCTTAGAATTTTGAAGGCATGCACCATAGTCATCTAACTTTCAAGGTTACTACTGAGAAATGGGATGCCATTTTTTTATCCCTGATCTTTTGTTTTCTCTCTCTAGATACTTTTTAGGATCTCTTCAAACCTGGTATTCTAATCTGTCTTGCTGGGCACTTAGTATAGCCTTCCAGTCTAGAAACTTACATTCCTTTCATGTTTATAAGTTTTGAGATTTGTTCTTTTGTCTTTCCTAACTGTAAAAAAAAAGTTCATGTTGGGGAAACAAGGGCTCAGAGAATTTGGGGAAGCCAAGAGTCTGAATTAAACATCTTACTGGGACAGGAGAGAAGTGGGCATTCCAGTTACACAGAGCTGTAGGAACAGAGGCATACAGTTAAGAATTAGCACAGTACAGTACAGCCCTGGCCAGGTTGCTCAGTTGGTTGGAACAGGGTCCCATACATCAAAAGGTCGTGGGTTCAATTCCCAGTCAGGGCACATAACTAGGTTATGGGTTAAATCCCAGTTGGGGCACATACGGAAGGCAACCGATCACTGTTTCTCTCACGTTGCTGTTTCTCTCTCCCTCTCCCTCTCAAATCAATACACATGTCCTTGAGTGAGGATTTCTTTTTAAAAAGAATGAGCACAGTCCAGGAAGAACAGTGATGACACTGACAAAAAACATGAAGATGGAGAGACACCAGGAGAGGCAGTGAGCCCAGCTGTGGCTAGTCCTCCTCCTGGACAGATGCCTTCTGCGTGTGGAGTTTCTTATGTAGAAAGAATCTTCCACTCCAGCTAAAGGTTTTCCCACACACCTTACACTTGTAAGGTCTCTCACCAGAGTGCACTCGCTCGTGCTGAACCAGGGTGAATTTCTGAACGAATGCCTTCCCACACTCCTTACATTCAAAAGGCTTCTCCCCGGTGTGAATGCGCTGATGCTGAGTCAAGGCCGTGTTGGAGCTCAACTGCTTCCCACACTCTTCACACTCATAGAGTCTCTTCCCAGTGTGGAACCTCAGGTGCTGGAGGACGACGGAGCTGCTACTGAAGGCCTTGCCGCTCTCCTTACACTCATAGGGCTGCTCTCCAGGGTGGATTCTCTGATGCTGAATCAAGGCTGTGTCTGAACTTACGCCTTTCCCAGACTCTTTAGGTTTAAGTCGTTTCTTTCCAGTGTGAACTGCCTGATGCCGAGTAAGCAGTGAGTTATAGCAGTTACATCTGCAGTCTTTCCCACATTCTTTGCATCCCAAAGACTTTTCACCAGTGTGACACCTCTGATGTTGGTGGAAGCCGGCCATTTGACTGAAGTATCTGTCACATTGTCTCCATTCATAAGGTATCTGACCACCAGGACCTGGCTGATTCGCGGCGAGTTGTGTGTTGACGCTAATGTTTGTTGCTAATTTCTCACACTTCTCCCCGCTCTCAATAGCCTGTGCCTCATGATACTGGAATGACACCTCAGTGGAATTTCTCCTCTCTGACTCTGCCTTCGTAACTACCCAGTGGCTGTGCTGCTGCCCTGGGCTGCTCCCAAGATCAAGGTCCTGGGGAACATTCCCTGGCAGCCCTGCCAGTGTCAGTCTGCGGGACTCTGATTCTTTGGCAATGTGTTCCTTTGGAGTGGATTTTTCCCTCTCAATTCTGGTCTCACCCCCTGGTATCACAAAAAGAAAACACAGCCGTCAGCCCCTGATGTTGCAAACGGAAGACTTGTGCTGCAGGGGAAACAGGAGCAGGTGTGTGGATATTTTCCAGTCTGTGCAGAAAAGGGCACCAAAGATCACCATGCAGCAGAGCCCCCCTAGAATGAAGACTCCGTGGGGGAGAGGCAGGTGAGGCCCGGCAGCATTCCCATAAATAGCATCAAGCCGGGAAGACAGAAAATACTGTTAACTAGGGCAAAAGACCAAGAGCTTTCCCCCAAGTGACTGGGAGGGATAAACGGGCAGACAGAGCGAAGTGATGAACAGAGACCCTCGGTGAGAGGAAGACCGCCGAGACGTGAGAAGAAGGGGGAGAGTCCTGGAATCATCCCTCCCTCATTGGAGGACAGGGACACAAAGGGGGGTTCTGCTGAGCTCCCAAGAAACCTTCATTTCCCACCGTGCTTAAGGCAGAGCCCCTCTCAGGGCTGGAGGGACAGCTGCCTTCAAAACCTGGGAACCCAGGGCTCTCCCCACCCAGTAGGTTCTGGGGAGCTCAGCCTTTAGAGCAACTGCCCATGAGGGTGTTTAGAGACCCACAAAGTCTAAGGAAGAAAGAGGACAGGATGCTGAAAAGGTAGAGGCAGACAATAACAGGGAGAAATGTCTTACCCACAAAAGCCACATTTGCATAGTTCTCCATCACCTCCCTGTAGAGGGCCCTCTGCACAGGGTCCAGGATGTCCCACTCATTCTGAGTGAAGTACACAGCCACGTCCTCAAAGGTCACCGGCTCCTGAAACAACAGGTTTCTGCTCATGCCTGTGTGAGGGCAGTGGAGCCTAATTACAGGGGCAGAGAGGCCCACTGGGTCAGGTGGTATAGTCCAGGACAGCTAGCCAGCACTCTCCCCCACCACAGGGGCCAGCCCTCAGCCGCAGTGCCCTCCTCACTGCACCCCTCTGTGGTCATCCCCTGTGGATCTCTGCGCTGATCTGCCATGCCCTGCTCTGTGTACGTGTCGGTCCCTCTGGCTCCTTCCCCCTACCTGGGCCTCGTATGCACATGCACAGGGGCATCTGTATAAACACAGGCCACACACAGCACTTTTGTACTGATCTCCACTCCCTCCTTGATTCCATTCAAGTGATAGTAACATCATGGTCCATGAGGAGGTGTTAACAAAATGTTAGAAGGCAGAAAATAAAGGATAGGTGGTATCTAAGTTAGAAAAGCAGAGAAAGCTGAATCTTAACTGCTGGCAGAGGGGAAGGCAAACCAAAAGGAGATCATTCACACTACAGGATATTTTGGTAAAATGTTCTCTCTGTTTAAAAGCACCAGGGAGGAGGGAGGGCCCACAAAGAATTTAGGACAATGAATGAAAAACATCTATACAAAGGCACGCCAGTGAGAAGTCTCAGAAAAACGAGGACATGAAAAAAGATCCTAAAGGCTTTGGAGAAGGAAAAACAACACATACATGAAGACTGGAGAGTTACTACATGGCAAAAGTAAGGGAAATGTTTTTCAAAATGCTAAGGGAAAACTTCCATTTCTCATCTACAGGGATTCAATGACCCGATTAGCCTCCTGCCTGAACAAAATTACATAAACCAACAGTTTTTAAGATACTGGTTATCAAGCAATGAAAGACCGTTCCTGAGACATGGGAAACAAAGAGGTAAGCCCCATGATTCCCCAAGCTTACTACGCTGGAAGTTTCCAGGCTGTAATGCAGGGAGGGCAAACTGAGACAGAGCCTGGCAGATCGTGGTCGAGTCTGAGGGGACCAAGACAGCTGGAATTTATAGGACAGAAAAGCAGAGGAAAGAGCTGAACAGGAAAAGAATACAAGTCACCTGCAGACAGTTCCCCTAGAAGATTTAACAGAGTATTGATCAAGGCATGGCTGTAAGTAGACGACCCAAAGCCAGGGAAAGGATCCTTTGAAAGGACTGAAGGAAACAATGCCTGGCATTCACTAACAGAGAACATTAAAATCCTATATAATAAACCCCTAATATGCAGATTGACCGAATAGCAGAAGGACCAATGAAAAGACTGGTCGCTATGATGCACACTGACCACCAGGGGGCAGACGCTCAACGCAGAAGCTGCCCCCTGGTGGTCAGTGCACTCTCACAGGGGGAGCACCACTCAGCCAGAAGCTGGTGAGCACAGCAGTGGTGATGGAGCCTCTCCCGCCTCTGCTGCAGGCAGGCAGCAAGGAGCAAGGATTCCCAGACTGCAAGAGGGATGTCTGACTGCCTGCTGAGAGGGCCCAGGCCAGGTATCGGGACTAAGCTGACAGGTGGACATCCCCCAAGGAGTCCTGGACTGTGAGAGGGCCCAGGCCAGGCTGAGGGAGCCCCCCCTCCCCCCCCACCTCCAGTGTACGAATTTCGTGCACTAGGCCTCCAGTAGTTATTATAAATGTATACCATCGGTTTAAAAGTTAAATAGATACAAGATATATTTCTTTAAAAGATCCAAATCAAACTTCTAGATATGAAAACTCCAATGTCTGAGATGAAAAATATACTTCATGGAATTAACGGCAAATCAGAAATTGCACGGGTTGGGGCGGGGGAGGGAGAAGTGCATGTAAGGCATAGCAATACCAAATGAAACACAGAGAGAAAAAAGACAAAGGCAAAAAGAGCAGCAATAATGACAGTTGCTCTCACCACTTCTCAAGACTGAACTGGAGGCAGTGCAAATAGACAAGAAAAATAAAGGCATCCAGACTTGAAAGAAAAAAATAAACTCTTTATTCATAGATGGCATGTCTATGTAGAAAATCCAATGGGATCTACAAAATAATTTTAGAATTGTGTTATCCAAGGAAAACAATCTTGTGGATGGGGTGAAAGGGGTCTTCACTGTATGCAGTGTTGCAGTTTCCACTTTTCAGTTAATTTCTACTTTTCAGCCTCAATGCCAAATCTATCCCAGTCAATCCCTCCATACTCACTTTTTTCCCATTGCAATTATCTTAGTTTGGGCATTCTCATCTCTCCACCCCTCAAGTCCTCTTCTCCAAACACATCCAATTGTGACAGATTCCAAATGGAAGCCACTGGCCCAGACAACGCAAGGTCTGGATGCAGAGCTGACACCTACTCTCCTGACATGTGGACAAAAAGGGACCGAATACTAAACCTGACAAGCGCAGTGGAGGCCTGCGTGGCAGCCTTACAAACTCAAGTAACCACAGAGGGATGGTTTTAAAATAGAACTTTTGAACTAAAAGCAGTGTGTGGCGTAGTCATGCCTAAGGCATTTTTCCCTAACAAAGGTCAAGCCTCACCTTAATTAAGGCTGTCTCTGGTCTTCTTGCATCTAAGATAACATACCAGAAAAACATGCCTTTGCAATAACGAAGTAATTGCTCTTTTTCTGGACTCCTCAAAGAGCGGGCACCAGTAGAGACAACAGATCCCCTCATAGTTATTCTCATGTTAAACGTAGACCTTAGCTTGTACCCACCTGCGTAAAAGAAGTGTCTATCACTTTACTTTTTATCCGATCCCCCCCCCCACACACACACACCCCTTGCTTTCTGCTGCCTCAGTAATCTATCACCCATGATTTTGGATTTCAAGTAGCCCACTTACGCCTTCTCTTTTGGCTGTAATGTATAAAATAAGATGCAAAACTACCATTTTCCAGAGCATCTTCTCAATCTGTTGAGGTTCTGCTTCCTGTCAATTGCCATCAGTTTGGCTTGAGTAAACTCCTAAGAGGTCTGAACGCTTCTGACATTGACACATCAGAAGGACGGGGATCCACAGAGGCCGAGAGGATGCCGGCTCACCCGGTGCCACGTGGCCTGGCCCATGCCGCCCTCGAGGTTCTAGCGGTGAGACTGAGGAGCAATAAGGAGGCACGGGTAAAATTAACGCTGCCTCGCACCTGTGAATGTGCTCTCTCCGCCTCGGGCCCCATTCCTTCCGCCATCTCCTCACCCCAAAGGCAGAGCTTATTAGACACTCTGCACTCCGCCCGGGAAACAAACCTGTTAGCCGCCGGGAGGCGAGCCCCGACTTGCCCTGAGGGCCAACCCGCACGGCGCAGGCGCAGCGTGGTGGGAACAGACCTAGGTCCTAGGTTCCGGCCCAGCCGGAAGTGCGTGCACCGTTTCCTCTCTAGAAACCTGGGAAGCAGCTCATCTCTATGTTTCCCTATCCCAGCCGCAGAGACCACTGTCCCTACTTTCTCGCAGAAAGTTGCCAGCCCCAGGCTCGGGTCCTGCAGGGCCATCCTCCGGGGACGTCGAGTTACAATCCCGATTTACCCAGCGTTCTCTGGCGTTTGCCCCTACGGGCTGCTCTGCCAGGAACCGAGGGGATCATTGCTCCGTGTGCCAGAGCTGCCTGGGTGCTGTGGCTGTGGCTGCACCAGCCCGCCCGCAGTGGGAGCCTTGGAAGTGGGAAGGGCTGTTAAATTTTAACCTTTCTAATAAACTGTTAACAGGAAGGAGTTCTATGATGAGCTGTCCCTGTCAATTATCAAGCCTCAGGAGGCAGTCCAATCTATAGCTGGTTACTCAGAAGGCCTGGGACTTGTGATTGCATCTGAAGTGGAGCAGACCTCTAAACCTCTTGGTAGTCAAGTGTCAGAATTGCACTGGTTGCTGTGGAGTATAAAGCCCATGCATTCACTATGAGAAATGCTGTAAGAAATAGTTCATGAGGACAAAACAATACAGACAAGTAAGCCGAGTCTATCATTCAGGAAGCCTAACAGGAACACTAGAGGATGCAGTAACTGAAAACCTGAAAATGAACCCAAGAGCAGTAAAACCAAGAAACCAGTAAGATGGGGCTTACTTAGGCCTAAGTAGCACTACCACCACTTAGTTGGTTTAGACCAGTGATTTTCAACCTTTTCCATCTCATGGCACACATGACTAAATTCTGTGGCACACACAAAAAAAGGGGGTCTAATTTTAATTCTCTAGACAACTCCTGAACCCTCACACAGGCCAGGTAACCCAAAACTGACTGCATTTCCTTTATCACAGAAGCTATTACACTATTATCACTTGACTATTAATACCAAGCCAAAATGATTTTGTCCATTTCTCAGTCAGGTTCAGGAAATCAGCTTTTGGTTAGAAATGATAGGCAACCGAACTTAGAATGTATCTTATTTAAACCCTCAAGCATCCAAAGCTGCTAGAATTTTATGTTTATATGGAAAATATATTTGTACTAGAAAAATCACCTGATGTTCTCATCATCATTTCCCATGAGAACATTAACTCGTTACCACTTAGTGTGATGGCTTTAAACTACCTGAAAGCAGGCAGAATGAGACAAGGAACTGATTTTCTAACAATGACATCAACCTTCCTACTATCAATATCCTTCGCAATCCCTGCCCCGCAGCAGACCTTCACCCACAGCAAGCAGATGGGCCAGTGTGTTAAAAAGAATCTTTATTATACGTTTATAGTAGCCCCTCATGTTCTCATGCTTTCTTGCCAGATGCCTTGGGAGCAGCAGGTGCTTTCTGGGCTGGGGCTTTCGGACCCTTTTGAGCTTTTGGAGGCGCTGCCTTCTGGCCTGCAGGTTTCTGGGCGGGAACCTTCTGGGCTGGAGCCTTCTTGCCTGCAGCGGTGACCTTTTTTGCTGGAACCTTTGCAGCAGCTGCTGCAGCTGCAGCGGCACCTTTAGCAGCAGGTGCTTTTTTGGGAGAAGCTTTCAGAAGAGCTGCCTTTTGAAGCTTCTTAACTTCAAGCTTGATTATTCGGTTCCTCTGAAAAATGCCAATGTATGTATATTTACAACATGCATACAGAGACTATTGTCATATATGTATATATGTTTAAGAGAAAACCCTAATGTCTTAGGCCCTCATATAATCAACTTTGCTCTACTTAAGCATGGGCAAACCATATAAATAAGTTTAGGGTTAAAACATAATCCTGTACTAATTTTAAAAACTTACCATTTTCTTTGCCTTCATCACTTTGTAACGATCAAAATCTGTCATCTTGGCTTTCTATAAAAAACAAAACACAAAACTCTCTTATACCACCTTCCAACCCTCCAAAAAAGGTCAGAATTCAAATGACTCTAAGTTATTACCTTTTCTCTGGCTTCAATCTTCTTGGCCCATCTTGTGGCTGCCCATTTTGTATTGATATCTGCCTTCTCCCAGGCTTGTCGAACATACTTCTGGCGGGCACTAGAAAGAACCAAGACTAGATGAAGAAATCAGCTTTGAAGCAACACAAACCCAAGGGCAGCTTTTCGCCCTCTGAAAAGCAGAACTGATACCCCCTCAGGTTAAAAAGCACAAGCAAAATGATCCCGAAAGTACCCTTCCCATTTGTTGTACTTCTAGCTCTAGTTGTCTCTAGAGAACAAATAACACCCGGCGCACCCCATCTTTGGATGTCTTATAACCTCAAACACACAATAAACCCAGTAAAACCCAGTACACTTCAAAAGTAAACTAGTAGTTACAGGTGTCCCACTACAGCTGTCAGTGCAGCTGGATAACTGTACAGCTACACAGCAGTTATCATCCATAGTCTACATCAAGCATGTCAAGAAAGAATTAATGATTTTCTCAATTCCTTTTAAGTAACTGTCACAAAATAATGCATGTTACTTTTTTAAAAAATCCTCACCCGAGGACATTTTTTCCATTGATTTTTTAAAAAGAGAGACTGGAGGGGAGGG